CAATAACATTGGGAAACTGATTTGTTTTGAATTCAAAGTCAAATCTTCTAGAGTCACTTAAGCTACTTTAATTGAACGGCACAGACATGTATGTGAATTAGGGTGGTCCTTAAATGTAGGAAGCAAATTTTTACATCCGATTTCCCAAGCCTCAACCCCTACGTCGATGCTACTATAGTCGAAGATATCACATATAAATTTTGGCCCCGATTGGAGAGGGTTAAAGCGTGTCGCACAGGGGGCAAAGTTCAGATTCCTCTAAAGAAACTCCAAAAATTAAAATTATTATTATTTTTATCTAATACCCTAAATCGATACTACTATAGTCGAAGATATCACATATAAATTTTAGACCCGAATGGACTCGGTTAAGGCGTGGCGCACAGGGGACAAAATTCAGATCACCCTATGAAGACGTCTTAACCGACTCCAATCAGGACCAAAATTTGTATGTGATATCTTCGACTTTAGTAGTATCGATGTTGGGTATTAAATTAAAAAAAATATTTTTAGTTTTTTGAGTCTCCATGGAGCATCTGGCCTTGGACCCCATTGCAACACGCCTTAACTGGCTTACAATCGGGAACAAAATTTATATGTGATATTTTCTACTACGGTAGTATCGATTTTGGGTATGAGTTGGCAAAGAATTTTATGTTTAATTTTTTGAGTCTGTATAGAGGAATCTGAATTTTGGCCCCTGTGTGATATTTGTGACCGTGGTATTACCGATTGAAGGGGTGAGACTGAAAAAAATCGTTCATTTGATTTTTAAGGACCTCCCCAAAGTACATATACCGGAATGTAAGAGCATAAAAAAGTTATATAGATGAAAAGATGGCGAATATTTGGGAAAATCCCTTGATTCACCGACATTTTCAAATCAACATTTTTTGAGATTCATTGTCTTCGATGGCCACTGCAATTTCATTTGCGCTGTGGATCCCTCTTATTTACATATGTATATCATAAAAATCTTTAATTTAATCTTTACATGTGTTCGTATGGAACAGTAGCTTATGTCGAAAGGCTGGCTTTAGTATAATGCAGCATTCGCAGCATACGATTTCGGATGGCTCACTGGCGCCGAGCTGTTGAAAACTTTTGGCAAATAAACGTGCAGAAATAGTTCCGATACTAGCAAGTCAATATTCTTATTTAGTCTCATCAAAAAATTCCTTGTCGTTTAAAGAATAAAGGAAATGCCGCATTATACATAAGCTACAACAACAACCCAACTTCTTATCAAGGTTAAATTTTTAATCACACCCAAAAGAACGTAGACGTCGAAGACAGCTTTAAGGTCAGCACCCGAACGCTACTCAAGTACACAAGCATTTACAACATAACGCTATACATACATATGTACATTTATTTATTTATTAATTTCCTTACCTGTGCAAACGATGACAAGCACTGAATGTTTCTTTGCGCGTGAGGAATGCAACAGGTTGAGACATTTTTACTTTTACTTGTGTTTTTTATTTATCAGAAAGTAGGAATTGCAGCGGAACCGGGGCAGAGAGCAGGCAAAGTTCAGCTTACACACAAACGGAAGTTGACGTTTATTGTTGTCGTTATGTTGTTTTTGTAATTGTGGGCTGTACGAAAGCGCGGCTATTAATTGAAAATCTACTTTCATGTACATAAATAATAAAAAATTATTAATGTAATACTTGCTAGCTTCAAGTGGTAATTAGTACCTACTTCTATCTGTAGTGCTTTATATATCCTATAAGAACGTATAACTCAAGTCAAACGAAAAATTTGTGTACGAAAACAAAATTTGACTGTCGGCTGGAATGTCACGATTGTAATGTTGACATTAGTGAACGATGCTGCCATATTTATATAATTTTAGACTATTGCGCTGCAGCGTAATGGTGACGGCGATACATTTTCAATTCCTTCCAGCTTTGGGTACTCACCTGTCATAATTTTTTACCTTTTTTTTAAACCAAATTTCATAAACTTATTTGCAAACAGACACTTGCTTGTACTAATTGACGGAAATTGGGCCTCAGTATCATATGTTAAGCGCTGGTTATACTTGCATTGTACTGCAGCAAATAACATGTAGGTATAACTGTTCATCATTCACTCCCACAAACGACAGTTTAATGCATGCAGATCCTAGTCGTGTGTGTTTCGGCTATTGAATTCATTTCAGAGAACGTAAAGTATACGTAAATTTACGTTCTCTGTTCATTTATTTTTAGGTTATGGGCTGTTTTTGCTTACGCGTAAAAGCACATTTAGCGCATTTAGCCCTAAATGCTACTCTAAATGTACATTTATCCATACAAAATTCGTCACCTAAATGCAACTAAATGCAACTCCATTTTTGCATTAAGAATCTAAATGCTAAAAGCAACCCTGTGATCTTCCAAAATTTCCACGATTCGAACATGGTTTAATTGAAAAAGTGGCAACATTGCTTTTTCGAGTATACAGTCGCTAGCTGGGTTTCAGTGATCGCCGATCGAGATTTCATTTATTATTTTACATTATTTGGATAAAGAAAAGTTACGCAAATTCAACATTGATATGATGCTGATAGAAATCTGGATTAGTTTGTGATCAGCTCTGTTTGTTTTGTTTCTTAATTAAGTGTGGAAATTATAATTGACTGCACCGACAAATGAATATATACACAAACAAATGTTCGGTTATGGTTAAAACAATTCAAGTGTTTGTATTGAATTTTCGGTTTAGAATTTATTTTTTTTCTTTTTCAGTAGGGGTTTTGCACATTATCTTTTCCGTGAGAATTTATCGTAGTAGATACGGATCTGAATAAGCGACTGGAACACGGCTGTTTGTCAAAAGCATACTATTTCGAACTCGTGTAAATGTACATTTGCTAAATGCGGTAGCATGAACGCTCTTCGAAAACATATGTTCGAAAGTGCTAAATGTTTCATTTTAAATGCAGCAAAGACGCTGTATTATGCAGCGTTTTTGTTGTATTTAAAATGCAACATTTAGCACTTTCGAACATATGTTTTCGAAGAGCGTTCATGCTATCGCATTTAGCAAATGTACATTTACGCGAGTTCGAAATCCTATGCTTTTGACAAACAGCTGTGTTCCAGTCGCTTATTCAGATCCGTATCCATTACAATGAATTCTCACGGAAAAGATAATGTGCAAAAACCCCTACTGAAAAGGAAAAAATAAATTCTAAACCGAAAAATCAATACAAAAACTTAAATTGTTTTAACCATAACCGAACATTTGTTTGTGTATATATTCATTTGTCGGTGCTGCCAATTATAATTTCCACACTTAATTAGGAAACAAAACAAACAGAGTTGATCACAAATTAATCCAGAATTCTATCAGCATCATATCGATGTTGAATTTGCGTAACTTTTCTTTATCCAAATAATGTAAAATAATAAATGAAATCTCGATCGGCGATCACTGAAACGCAGCTAGCGACTGTATACTCGAAAAAGCAATCTTGCCACTTTTTCTCATTAAACCATGTTCGAATCGTGGAAATTTTGGAAGATCACAGGGTTGCTTTTAGCATTTAGATTTTAAATGCAAAGATTGAGTTGCATTTAGTTGCATTTAGATGACGAATTTTGTATGGATAAATGTACATTTAGAGTAGCATTTAGAGCTAAATGCTCTAAATGTGCTTTTACGCGTAACTGCCGTCCGTAAATTGGAGCGCTAAGCGTTGCGTTATCCATTGTCGACGAGTGTCAGCGCGCGCTATCCCCAAATCAACGCGTCGTAATTTTTGCGTTTTCTCAGATCCTCTCGTTTTTATTCTCGTTTCCTCCATGGTGGAATTATACAAGGTGTTGTACGTAGTGACAGCTCATGTCGACGGCTCCCTTACAAAAGGTTGTAATATGGAAGAACGAGAGAAACGGGAAGAAAAGAAGCACGCTTTGCGAAGTAGTACGAAATTTGGTACTCTTTCATATCAAATTTTGCATATAAATAGTAACAAACGGTATATTATGATAAGCTAAATTTGCGAAAGTAGTATATATTACGTAGCACTTATGCAATAAATGGTAATTAGTTTATTAAACACAATGTCCTATAATTATAGTCAAACTTCCAAAACCGCTTGGGGGTCTAATTTTTACCCGAAAATACTATAAGATGATTGATATAACTTACAAAAATTTCGCCATCAAAAAATTAGTGGTGACCCCGAGTCGTTACAACATGACGGAGTCGACAAAAGGGCGCATCGACGGATGGGGAAAATATTTCATCGAACAAAATGCCAACTAAAGATGTGGAGCTTGTATCGCAATGCAAGCTGCGACCGTTCTGAACTGAGATGCCAAACAAATGGTTTCTACAAATTGAGGCCACCTTTCAGTCGTACAAGACCACATCTTATGTCCGGAAATATAATCTGGTCCTCTCAGCAATTAGCAGCGATGCTTTAAAGGTAGCTGCGGATGTTTTAAAAGCCGTACCAGCTCAAGGCCGATATATTAACCTCAAAAGTCAACTACTGTCACGTTTTACTGATTAAGCCGACCCACATAGGGTATTTGGCTGATTTTAGGCCTTTGGAGAATACACAAAGCCAATGTTTTTTGTCGAATTAATGATTTTAATTTTCAATTTAATTTTGTCAACGAATAAGAATAACGTAAATGTCAAAGAATTGTTCAGTGATTGCAAATCAGTTTTGGAATAGGGAATGAGGTAGTTTACTTTTTTTAAAGGCGGTAAAATGTAGTTTTTTCAAGAGGGAAACACCGATTTTGCTAAGGGAGCCAAGATGGCAGATTAGAGCGAGAACGCTGTCAATATCCAACACCTTGTATTATTCCACCATGGTTTCCTCTTTCACTTTTTTGTCCTTTCTCTTTCTTTCCGTCTTCCGCATCCAACTTCAACACGTAACGCCCTGTCAAAAATGAAAATTCCATTTGCTCGGCGTTAGCGCCGCGTTATTGTGGGATGCTTCATACAAATTGTATGGGCATGAGGATTTTTGACAGTTGTTTGGCGCTTGACGCGCCAATTTAGGGATGGCAGTAAGCAAAAACAGCGCATAATAATAGTTTTCAAGTTCCACTTTGTTTTGGATTGTATTTTTTTTCACAATAGAAGTGAAACTGTCAAAAATTTGACAAAAGGCGTACGAAATAAACAAAATTTAAATATGGATCCGACTCTGTTTTTTTATTTAAACTCCAGTGAAAGTGAAGAAGACGAAAAAGTTATAAGGAGGAGGCTTAGAGATCAAAGCAATCCTTTGGACTTGCCAAACAATGCGTAAGTACATGAAAGTAAAATATTTCAAGCTAAAAAGTAAGATTTTATTAGATTCTTGAAACGGTACCGCTTATCCAAAGAGGCGTTCAGCTATGTGCAGCGAAAAATAAATTTAAAGCATACTGATGTTAAAGCCGTGCACCCAGTGTTACGATTGGCTGCCACTCTTTCACTTCTAGCTAGCGGTGGGTACCAACACAGCGTCGGAAGTGATCATTTGGTGGGAATGTGTCAAAGCACTGTATCAAAGTTGGTATCGTTTGTTCTTATTGAAATGGAAAATAAGTTGTGCCCACATCTTATACGATTCTCACCAGAAGATTCGTCTAGATGCAAAGAATGGTTTCTGGAAAAATACAAAATACCTGGAGGTAACACATTTTTTTACATGCCTGTAACATTAAGTACATAAGTATATGTTTTTTATTCTTAGTCATTGGTTGTGTCGACGGAACTCACATTGGTTTGCAGAAACCCTCTATAGACGAACATATGTACATTAATCGAATGGGGTACCATAGTATCAATGCTATGATAGTAAGTTGCTAAATTAGCCATATACCGCTGAAATAATGTTATTTAATAATAAATAAATTTGTAAGATGTGTGACCACACATACAAAATTTTGGCGATCAATTGCCGATACGGTGGTGCGGCTCATGACTCCTTTGTTTGGAAGCACTCAGATCAATATAGAGTATTGAAAGAACGGTTTGAGCTTAACAGACAGGAAAATGCATGGCTGTTAGGTACGTTCATACTTCTTCAATTTCTTTAATACTGATTTATAGTTAATAAACACTTCAATAGGGGATTCCGGCTACCCAGTTGAGCCATGGTGCTTAACCCCTTATAGAAATCCTCCAGATGGTTCAGGCGAAAGTATATTCAATGATAGTCATTCTAAAGCAAGGTGTATCATTAAGCGAAGTATAGCTATTTTAAAAGGCCGTTGGAGAATCTTAGGGAACGGCAAAAGGGGAAGATATCTTCCTGCAAAAGTGGCGAGATTCGCCAATGTCTGCGCAGCATTACATAACGTTTGCATCAAGTTTAAAATTAATTATAATCCTGCAGATTATGAATCCGACAATACAACCGAAATTGACGAAGACGAAACAAGTCAATTCACTTCGATAGGCCAAACGATAAGAGACCAAATAATGCATTCACTTTCAAATCCTACCTAAATGTGAAAAATTATATACATATCACTAGTTTAGTATAGGCTTGGGCGAACTTAAGATATTGACCAAGAATTGTCATCTTTCACACAGATTGTTTTTAGAGCACAACGAACCATATTAGGAGCGTTCCTTATCTCCCAGAAATAGTCAGAAAAAGTCCGAAGTAGTCAGATTTAGTCCAAAAAGCGTTCCTTAACTCGGAAATGACAGCAAAAATGAGAGAGCAACAGTCAGTGAGAGTGACTCTCATCAGTCCGAAGTAGTCAGATTTAGTCAGAAGAATTTTTTCTGGCAAAATCCTGAAAAGTGTCAAACTCAACTGAATTTAAATTAACGGAAATTAAGGAATACGCTAAAAGTGAGAATAATCTAAAAAGTAAAAGAAATGAATTGAAATTGGAAGAAGGCAAAAAATAATTGATATAGCAAGTGTTTATTGTGCTTGTGCTTGTGTGAATGTGTTTTGTACATACATTTCTGTTCTTATTTGACGTTAGTTTTGTTGTTGCCATTCTTTGGACTAAAAATTTGGTTTTTTGCGTTCCTTTACTTTTCATGTTATTCTCTTTAAGTGAGCGCATTTTGCTTACGCTCTGGCATTTTGACACTTTTCAGATTTTAGTCCAAAAAGATAAGGAATGAACCTATTTTTGCTATTACCAATCAAAATTCTAAAACAGCAGATTTTCGGCCCACGCTAGTATGCAGTAATGATCGCTACCTGTTCCCCATGTTGTGTAGAAATTCAATAGCTGTACCTATTACCTGTAGCTCACTATAACAAAATATGTATTAATTTTTACCATGGGATCATGATACAAAAAAGAATGTAGTTTCAATAAACAACTTTTGAAGGATAATAAAATTTTTTGAAGTTTCATAAATTGTGAGTATTATCATCGGCCTTGCCACTTTGATAATATTAAAACAATAATCGGAGTATTTTCCTTCCCATATTTATACCAATCTAATAATATTTCAAATGAAAAACCATTATCAGTGCTTGGTATTTTTTTTTACTTATGTAGCTCGCACTATTATTATTAAAAATATATAAAATATAGACTATTAAAAAGGACTTCATCGTAATTGTTCTTTTCATTTTATAATAAAAACCACGCGCGTATTATGCTATTATTTTTTCGTTTTCTTATTTTGAATGCAATCTTGCGATCAAAAATCTAATTCTAAAGAATGTTCTTCCCAAATAAAACATTTTTATATTTTGGTTTAAATTTACTTTTGAATTTCTAATCAGATTTTACAAAAAATTAGCTTTCACTAATTTAGAACTTAAAATTTCTAATGTATGCAAAAAACCTGAAGTCGCCTTGAACAGACCGCCTTCCCTAAACAATTAACATATCGTCGTATAAAGTACACAACCGCGTATCAACAAAATACAAAACTGCGTATGTGAGGATGCATAAATTATTTTCTAGAGTAAAAACACTCATATTTCAAAACGGTTCTCTTTTTTATAAAGCAATCGCATTTCTGGCTAGTATATTTCAGTACGAATGGATAAGGCTAGAGCCAAGAGGTTGTGTGAGCAAATCCAATTTTTGGCAAAAAATGTCAGTTTCGCGATTTTGGAGAACGACGATGCGCGATTTTGTAATTTAAATGACGATATGTAAGTATAATTTTGATCACTTTCTTCATGCGTTGTAAAACCTAGTCATCAACCCCATTTTCGAAATTATATAGCCGGCATAATTTTTAAGTCCATCATCCCTTCCGCCAAAAAACTTAAATTGGGTAACGCTGCTTTTAATTTTTTACAATTGAGCATTTGTCAAAAATCTCCTTTTTAATCAAAAACAAGGCGAATTTATATAAGCTCTGATCCAATACTTTTCGTGAAAAATCCTGTAAAACTGTCAAACAGCAAAATTACTCTCTGAAGTGAGAGTAAAAAGTGAGTAACAACAAAAAGTACGGGAACAAAAAATCCATTTTTCCTGTAAAAACGTCAACCAGTGATTGCTTGACACTTTTCATGATTTTACCAGAAGAAAAAGTTCGGGTAAAATCTTGCAACTTCATTCTCTACACAACTCTCCAAAAGTCGCTCTCATTTACAGGATTTTGGAGTACGGGAACATTTTTCCTGCAACTTCCTGCAAGTTCGTGTAAAATCCTGTAAGTTCATGGAGTACTGGATCAGAACTATAAGGTGGTGTTTTTTAATCAGCTGTGTGTAGCGTTTGATTGTCAAAATCTCATATTTTGCTAGTGAGTGAGTGAAAACATGAGAGTGTTTGCATTTCCTGTCGCCCTTTTTCATTTGGAGAAGAATAGCTGAAATTTGACAATCACCAGCTAAAAGCAAAAACAAAATACAGGTAATTGTTGTATTTGTTGAATCGATACCACCTTATATGAATTCGCCTTGATCAAAAAGATGTTTATTGAAACCACCTTCTTTTTTGTATCATGGAATAAATGAGCGATATGTACATATGTATATTTTAATTTTTATTGTCAACAATAAGAAAACGTGTCGTGCTTGGCAAAAAATGTACTGCCGATAATATCCATCGCATCGATTTCTTATTACCAGTTTCTCACAAACCTTTGCCGAAGGCAACTCGCCTGGTCGAGTCTTATTATCTGAATTAGTGGTTTTCGAGTCGTTTTTTTATTATCTGAATTAGTGGTTTTCTTATCTTATTATTATGGCTACAGGCGATATTAAAGCAATAGTTACTTGGAACGATTTTATTCTTTTTAATAATTCATTTGTTATTGAATACAAAATAAGAATTTAGAGACGAAATGAATTACTTCCCCCGCTATGGCGCTACTTATTTTTTTGAATACTCAGGCAGGTTCTGCAATTCACATCCGAGTGAATTTCAACCCCTGCCAATTTGAATTCTACGCGAATCCGACTCAAATTCACTCGGAAGTGAATTGCAGAACCTGCCTGACTATCTTTGGACTGAATAAGACGCTTTTCGAGAATACTGTTGACGCGGAATTCATCAGCTTGGGAATTTCGTATACATAAATATGTACTATATATTTGTTAAAAATACTTGTTTCTCTTAAAGTAATTGATAAACTTTCTAACTCGAACTTTTCAGTTAACAATTATTATTACTATTAACCCTAAATCTATTATTTTTTGTTACAAATTTATTAATGAAAAATTATGAGTGAAAAAATTGGTAAATTAGTAATTAATTAATTAAATTTCTGAAAAATTTAAGTTATTTTGGATAAGCGATCATGTATGAAAAAAAAAAAATTAACTTAGGGCACTTTGAAAGTTGTTTGAGCGAATAAAAGCTATTGGCAGGAAATTTTCATCTTTCTCACAGTTTTTAAGAGCACAATGAACTATTATTATTATTATTACTATTATATATTATTATGATTATTAAAAGCTGTAATTGGCTGTAACTTAAAATTAAAGTTATAAGTTAAAAACTTAAGAAATGTGGCAACAAAGGTCTTAAGCTAACTTCGGGGCACCGAAATTGCGCATATGGAAAATGCATTTAGACATTATTTCGGTTTCAACCGAAACTGTGCATGTATGCTTTATTTCGGTTTTTACCATATGCATTATTTCGGTTTTAAACCGAAACTGTGCATGTATGCATTACTTCGGGTTTTTCATATGCATTATTTCGGTTTTTGTTATATGCATTATTTCGGTTTTCAACCGAAACTGTGCATGTATGGATACCTTCGTCTTTCACATATGCATTATTTCGGTTTTCATCCGAAACTGTGCATGTATGCTTTATTTCGGGTTTTGCCATATGCATTATTTCGGTTTTGAACTGAAATTGTGCATGCATGCATTATTTCGGTTTTTGTTATATGCATTATTTCGGTTTTCTAACGAAAGTGTGCATATGGATATTTACTTCTACTTAGTAAGGGTTTTAACCCTTAAGCGCGGCTGAAAGCCGCCTACGCAGAGAAAAGTTCTGCGCAAAAATACGTCCGCCCTTCTTTTCCGGCAATACAGAAAGGAGAATTCTACTTAGTAAGGGTTATAATCCCTAAGCGCG